TCGCAAGTTAACAGCAGCTCAGATCAGAGACCAGATGAATGCCACACAGAGTTCTAGCAGCAGACCCATCTCTAGAACAACTGTTAAGAGGAGACTGCGCCAATCAGGCCTTCATGGTCAAATAGCTGCTAGGAAACCACTGCTAAGGAGAGGCAACAAGCAGAAGAGATTTGTTTGGGCCAAGAAACACAAGGAATGGACATTAGACCAGTGGAAATCTGTGCTTTGGTCTGATGAGTCCAAATTTGAGATCTTTGGTTCCAACCGCCGTGTCTTTGTGAGACGCAGAAAAGGTGAACGGATGGATTCCACATGCCTGGTTCCCACTGTGAAGCATGGAGGAGGAGGTGTGATGGTGTGGGGGTGTTTTGCTGGTGACACTGTTGGGGATTTATTCAAAATTGAAGGCACACTGAACCAGCATGGCTACCACAGCATCCTGCAGCGACATGCCATCCCATCCGGTTTGCGTTTAGTTGGACGATCATTTATTTTTCAACAGGACAATGACCCCAAACACACCTCCAGGCTGTGTAAGGGCTATTTGACCAAGAAGGAGAGTGATGGAGTGCTGCGGCAGATGACCTGGCCTCCACAGTCACCGGACCTGAACCCAATCGAGATGGTTTGGGGTGAGCTGGACCGCAGAGTGAAGGCAAAGGGGCCAACAAGTGCTAAACACCTCTGGGAACTCCTTCAAGACTGTTGGAAAACCATTTCAGGTGACTACCTCTTGAAGCTCATGGAGAGAATGCCAAGAGTGTGCAAAGCAGTAATCAGAGCAAAGGGTGGCTATTTTGAAGAAACTAGAATATAAAACATGTTTTCAGTTATTTCACCTTTTTTTGTTAAGTACATAACTCCACATGTGTTCATTCGTAGTTTTGATGCCTTCAGTGAGAATCTACAATGTAAATAGTCATGAAAATAAAGAAAACGCATTGAATGAGAAGGTGTGTCCAAACTTTTGGCCTGTACTGTACAAATCACCATTTGCAGGATAAAGTATTCCTTCAATGCTGGTTTAAACTTTTGAAGAAGAAACAGAGCGTTCAGCATCCCTGGAAAAAGTGTGACAGAAAAAAAGAGGACTCTACACAGCATTCATTTAGTTGCTAAATCAAATATCTAAATTACCAAATCCCAGATTCATTTCACTGCTATGACTGTGTCACATATTTGTGGACTAAACCTGGTTGTTATGGTCTGTTTCAGTGCGCACAAAAGCCCTCTATGAAGGTGTGAAAGAGGCTTTCTACCCACCATGCACCCACAAACAAACAGAGGATCAGCACCATAAAAAGGGACCTTTTCAAAAGCGTCATGCAAAGCTGGAAGGCTTGCTGTGTTTAAAAAAATAAAACATTTTTTGTACTCTTGATAGCGCTTTGAAAAGTGCTTGCACTTCAAAACTATTACCAGCAGCCGAACATGGAAGGGAGTACGGCGTGAGCTATTTTTGGGGCACACAGCATAACTAAAGCAATGACAAGCCAGCTGTGTTTCCACAGCTTCATGTAGGGAGGAGGCAGTGGAGGATAAGGAGGGAAAGGAGGAGGGATGAGAAAGCAGTGGTGATTTAATTTAACTGGCCTCATTCAAACCTAAAGTTTACACAAAGTACCTCCTGGGTTTAGGCGTAAGCTCTCTGCTGGGAAGCTGTGATGTTATGTTTTGTTTAGTACAGGGAGGATTGCAGTAAATGAGAGTTATTCAAAACTTAACTATGTAGAGGAACAAAAACTAGTGGGTTAGGGTTAAATTAAACTAATCTGATAGTGTCAAACAGTTTCATGGGAACTGTGAAAAATAGTTTGAGTACCACTGAAGCTCTGATACATTTTGGCCTGTGTGGTTTAACTTTACCTTTTTATTTCTTTTCAGTTGTCTGAACTGCACAGACAACTTGGCAAGGGTTAAAGCTAGTTACCTATATGTTGTATCTGCTCTGGGACACTAGCTAGTTAGCTAAATGTTGTGTGAGTTATTTAGTCATGTACAGTGTGTACTAATTAGCATGTGACTGTATTAAAAAGTCCGAATGAGACACAAACACAACACAAAATGACTGTGGACTCATTTCAAACTCCACTGACAGCTGAGGGAAGTTTTCCCCAAGCGAGGTTGAAGCAACAGTTTGATTTTGGCTAGCATTAGCAAGATGCTAATTAAAAAAGACACGATAGTTTTGTTTACCTCTGCTGTCCGCAGCGGGGGCGGTTTCTTCAAAGCCAGTTTGAAAGAAGTTTCCATGGCTCCGGTCATTTTCATAACTTCGGCTCAAATCCACCTTTTACTTCCTCTGTAAGGTATCCTCACTCTCACTTCTCCTGGTTGCTCTGTTAGCCGACCCGAGCTTGAACAAACTCACATCCCCGTGTGGATCTTGTCCTCGCCGAGCCGAGCCGAGCATGGATGGAGTTTACCGACCAGGAGCTCCTTCTTCTCCAGGACACACACACACACACACACACAAACTTCACTTTTAACTACTGCGCGTCCGAAAAAGAGTAGACACAACTAAAGTGTGACAGAAAGTTAAACCTACGGGACTTGGAGTCTTGAATTATGTACATGTTTGGTAAAGGAAATATCCACCTCGGTAGCTAGCGTCAGTCAGATCCAGGAGTTCAGATTTAGATCCCTCCTCCTGCAGATCTGAGTGAGCACAGTTGACGACATCTGTCTGCACGGAGATGGTGCTGCGTTCAGATACCGTCGGAACTAAGTGAATTTAGACGACAGTGATACATTAAATGACTCAAGTGGTAGTTTTTGAATTATCATGTTTCCATACAAATTCTGTTTGCACATTACTACTGTGAACTTTTAAACCCTCTAGACAATGATTTGCACATTCCTACACAACTGTAGGTGCATATTTTATGTATATTTTTTCATAATGTTATTGCCATGCACCAAATCACCAAGTTAAATCTACTGAATGAGCAATATTCTTGGCAGTAAATTGTTTTTGATTCTGACCGTGATTATGAAATATTGCCAGAGAAAAGTAGCATTATTTTGAAAGCTCAAAAAGAACACAGCAAAAGTTTTCTTAACATACCTAAGGTGTCTTTTGTGTATTTTGTTTTCTGAGTTTTTGTGGTAAATTACCAAATGGGAAAAACTAATTTAAACTTTTAATTCCATCGTTTGTATAAAGATATTTAGATTCATAAAAGTATTTTAGATTATCACAGTATTATAAAGCAGTGTGTGTGGTATAGTTTTCCTTATATGCTCAGCTATTTAAGTTTTAGCACATACGGCTAATTTGGTTTGCCCTTTACTTGTTACAAACAAAATGCTGCAGCTGCACAGATTTTTTTTTCACCAAAGACCTAAGCAACAATATGTTGTAGCTATAAACTGGCAACACAGAGTCCAGCTTTGCTCAGCTGCCAGATGCAATCAAGAAAAGTCACTTAAACGGCATAACAAGACATAACTCTTGCTGAGTGGTGGCGAAGAGTGAAAACTACAGGATTAAGTTTTTAAAAAGCACTGTAAGAGTGGCACAAGTAGCCTGGAGATGAGTCATAAAGTTATATAGAAGCAAAATAGGAAGTTGACATAAACTAATATCAGCCATCCTAAGCTACAAGTCATATTATATCAATAAAGGCTGTGTGAGCAAAATTCTTGCATGTGTTGAAGTGAGCGAGAGTGCATTTTATTGCTTATGAGTCCCATGTTTTATTCCTAATACAAATAATGTGCTATTTATTTGTCAAAAGTCACATAGTAGTCTGGATTTAATGGCATAAAAAGGGCGCCTTTGGTTCTTACTTTTGGAGGTCGAGTGTACGAGCTTCAAAAGGAGTCCATGAACGCAGCACAGATCCTCCCTCTGACTCCTGACACTCGTGTGGTCAGGTTGCAACTACACACTCTCAAAACGCGGAGTAATCAGACTACTGAAGTTCATTGAAAGCAATAGCACAATCTAGACGTGCACGTCTTCAAGTTTAGGGTGAAGTTACAGTTAAACTTGAACTGCAAAGCCATGAGCTACTGACGCATATCCAGTTTCAACGCACTTTTCAGAGTTTGATCTAAATTTAGATGAAACGCTTGATTTATCCACCAGTGTCTGAAGTCTCGTGTGTTTTTCTGATCGTTTCCTAAAATAGCTATTCACGTGAAAACAGCGATGTTCTCACTGACAGGACACACTCTCATATTTGCTACCAGTGTATCTGCGCACAGCCAGGACACTCCTTCCTTTATTGCATAACTGTGGTGTGTGTGTGTGTGTGTGTGTGTGTGCTCGTTTCGTTTCAGCTCCTGTGCCGTGAGGAGGGTGGGGTGGAGCCACAGCCAGTTTCAGGGTGGTAAATCCAAAAGGTGGGTGAAATGTGTGATCCAGATGGTGAGCAGTGGAAGTCAGACCACTGCTAATCTAAACAGAAGTGCTGCTGTTGTGCAGAGTTTGACTTACAGCTACTTTCCAGGCTGTTTTAAAAAAAAGTTGTCGTGAGAAACTATTCTGCACGTAGAATTTCTAAAAGACAGACAATAAAGAAAAAGGAGATTAAGACTCCCTGCAGAGCTAAAACCAGTTAACATGTGCCAGTTATACAATCTTGTGATAGTTTACTTAGTAATTGTGTGAATGCAGACAAGAAACCACAGTTGATAATCTCAGATGTGAAGAAACACAGATCTGGAGCGGCTCCCTTGAACCGGATCCAGGCCTGTGGTTGCACACAAACTTTGGGACGTTGCTTAAGTGCAACATCTTCTACACAGGTACAGAGTGTGTGGTAATATCTACAGCACACTCACTCTGGGTAATCCCACTGTGAGTACACGCAGGTCAGTACAGCACTACAAAGGGTTTCCCCCCCTTTTTCTCTCCTCATCAAATCCCTGATGTGAATTAAAGCTCTTGGATCTCTTCTTTTAACGATTTTATATTCACACATCCAATATTTAACTTTTCCAGGATTTTTTCCCCCTTTCATTCTGTGACAGAGAACATTCCCAGAGACGCATAAATTCTTACCATCGGCATCTTTATTGCACAACATTCCCATAAAATTGGGAAAAAATAATCTGAGGAGACAATTCTTAAAAGACATTCTGTACAAATACATGGAAATAAACAGTATGTACAGTCTACATGAACCGTTACACATACCATGGGCAACTGAATAATTTACTCATATACAAAGCCGGAGAAGCAGATATAAATTCATACCTTTTTTTAAACATCATGGCTGGGTTGTACAAAATGTAGGCTGATACAGCGGAGCATCTTCAATGCAGTAACAAGCACGTTTATATCAATTTTACCAGCAAAAATGAGATCTCCAGAAGCTTGTGATGCATTCATGCCACATCTCCGTTAAGACTTGGGTCATATACAGGGTGCGATTTGAGTGTATGGAAGGAAACTTACACTGCAGGGTTAGTCCTGCTTTTTTTACACAATACAAGCCATTCTCAGCCATCAACAGGCTCAAGCCTGAGACGCACTCCAATTTTTAAGGAGGATTCTTTTTAAATTTGTGAACATTTCTTTCCAGAAACCATTTATTGAGTTGGCTGCTGGCTAAATCAAACCTTCAAACCTTCTCTTGCTATCAATATAAATTTGCTGGGCTAAAAGCACAGTTTTGTAAAGTGCTGCACGGATCAGCGTATATATTTAAATTTCAGTTCCTTCCCATGTTTGATTTTTAACTCATGTCAACCTACTGTCTGCAATTAAACAATGTAAATATAGATTCATTTCCAATGCCGTCAACTGATGACATAAAAGCAATAATAACAATGACATACTTTCCTATTGGCCCCTCTGCAGCGAACACTTTATGCCCAGGAAAGAATCAAAAAACAGAAGCTGTGAAAACAACTGATCCTCCCTTTCTTATGCTCAGCAAATCGCACCCTGGCTATATGGCTTAACAACCAAAATCATCTGTCACTGTCATGGAAAACCAAACAGAACACAAAAGGGAATAAAAAGTGTGCTACCATAGTTTTGTACTTTGTGTGTTTTAGTGAGAATAACCGTCGTAGAAACATGTTTGAAAATAGTGTTAACCGATACACATTTCAATCCGCTGTAAGGCCTCCTGTGTTCCCCCTCTCGTCTCTCTGCAGCAAACATCGAAGCCGTAAACATCGTAAAAAGGTGGCGAAGCTATAAAAGTGTGAAAATATTTCAGCATTTTGGTTTTAAAATATATATACGTAGATGATGCGTGTTTTAGCTTTTCCACAGTAGAAAGGGACCCTTCTCCTCCCTTGATCACATTCTGAAGCAAAAATATGTGTAACGATCATCTTTAAGGAATTTAACAACCTTCCCTTCTTCTTTTTTTTCTTTTTTTCCCAAAGAACACAGCATAGAGTCTGCTCACAGCTGACGCTGACATTCCTCTGATTAAACATGTTAAAAACTATACCTCAGGGTTTCCTATGGGGCGACTGTAAATGTGTGTCATCCACAGCCCACATGAAGATCTGAGGTAGTGCTGTACCTATGATAAGAATGTCAAAGCCACTTTTAGCCGTCTCAAAACCCGTTTGTCAAACCAAAAATCATGGTGTGCATCGATTACCCCCATGTGGCCAGAAAATAGGCTTTTAAGTCAGGCGTGCATTGCAATTTGACGAGAAAATAAAATGTGTCATTGAGATATCTCAGGGAAAATTTGGCTTGTAAACAAACACATGAAGATAAATGAAATAACATAGTTGGCATGAGATTGATAAAGTTCTCAATGATATTTACGTCAAAGCAATGTTTAAAAATGTCCATCGGTTTCCTTTAAAATGTAGTCCGTCACTTCGTACGACTGGGTTTAAGATTGTACAGAGAAAAAAAAAAAAGTAGTAGAAGAAACAAAGTCCATTGTTGTTATACTGTAGATATCCTTAAAGTTTTATTCTCATCTGGGAAAAAAAAACATTATAAAGTCTTTGGCTTTTGTGTCCAAAAATAAAAGAGTCCTGTTTTAAAAGAAACATTCAAACAACTGAAGAAAGGTCACGTCAGGGATACTTCAGTCATCCGCAGAGCCTCGCTCCATCTGTGGGACTGTGGTCTCTAGCTCCCCCCTGTGGTGCAACAGCATTATTGCACCAAATTCAGCAGCAGTGGTGGTGGTGAGCGGAGGCGCTGGCTGTAGCTGTGGTCCGTGAAAGACGTGCACTGCTCAGGCTCGAAGCAAAGATGCCGCTTGGCCCAGGCACGCAGGTCAGGAAACCATGTTGGGAGGGGGAGGGGGAGGGGGGGGGTCAGCTGCGAAGCATGGACGGCCAGAGGATTTTGGGGCCAGAGAGGCACCAGCCAGGTCTGACTGGCTTCCTCAGGCAGCTCGCTGCTTGGGACCTCAGTGCCATTATAGTCTCATAGTAGGATCTGGGCCACGTAGGGGGAGTGAGTGCTGGCCACTGCGGCCAACAGGGGGAGGTCGCTGGACTCAATTCTGCAACGATACCAGAACAACGATCAGGACATAGTAAGAGCCAAATGCCCTACTTAAAGGCAAAAAAAGAAGATTTGGCTAATTTTTCATGGGCGCGACGCACATACTCAGCTCTGCTGCTCATCCCATAAATGCATGTTCCTAACAACTGTGGCACCATTTAAAAGGGAAATAAACAGGCTTTCCAAGGGCATAAGATTTATTCCCAAGAAGCATTGTTACAACAAAGAAATAATCTACCAAACACAAAGTTCCTTACTTTCTGTGTGTAGTTTATTTATTTCTATAACTCCTGCATCTGTTGCCTCTGCTTCGATGTATACATTAATATGGATAGGTTTTTTATTAACAGATGTCCTGTGTAGTGTCCTTGTTAACAAAAAAAGTTTTGTTCACATTCGGTATTCTACACTAAAACACACTGTGGAGTCTTACAAAGATGTTGAGTGCACTTCCTTCCTCATAAAAAAAACTGCAAAGCTGAACTTTCCTTAAGATTTAAAGCCTGCATTGTTTGCTTTCCCATTTAATCACTCCTCTTCTTCATTGCCTTTCTTGGTACATTGCCATTCATCTTGGAGCATTGCTGCCATCTGTTGACTACTGACTGGACTATCACATCACGTCACCCACATTAGTCTGTATTTACATCCCCATGGGTGTGCATGTGACAAACAAAACAGGCACCCGATCATAAAACAGCTCTATAGAGGTAAAACCTCCACAGGGTACGTTTCAGTGATATAATTAGAACTTTAATGTGCAGCTTTACAGTACATGTGAGTTGAGAAAAAGGTTAACTTCTTACCCTAAGACCATGCCCAGTTCTTTCACATGGACTCTTGTCTGGCCCTTCAAATACTCAGCAAGCATCTTACTCTTGAAGTAGATTTCCTGCAGGCGGTCCTCAAGGTGCATTATACACTAAAGAGGAAGAAGAACACAGTTGGTAAAGCACAGGAATCAAAGTGGTGATTGCTGTATACTGACAAATAATCCGTGTTTGACTGAAAGGTGTAACATACAAAGTTGGGTGAGAGGTTGAGTTTGTAGAGCTGGTGAGTGGACTGCAATAAGCTGGACACCAGGCTGGACACCAGGACTTCCTTCCCCAGCTTGTTGACGTCCGTGGCTCGTCTCTGACTGCTGGCCACCTGCACTGTCCACTTGTCTGTGTCTGCTACAATGCAGACGGCTTCCGCTATGGGCTCATCCAGTACTGGATGCTGCAGAGGACAAGAACATTCATTTCTTTTAACCAATAAAACAAATGCAAAAAGGAAAAAAGTGTTCTTCACATGTTAATACACGCCTCAAACTCCAAAACAAATGATACATAACAGAGCTACGAGGCAAGTGCTTGTTTTACAGTGACAGTGCATACCAAGGATGTTTGAAACGTTTGAATGTCAGTGAAAATAACAGGTTCAAACACTTCAGTCCTTTACCTGAACAGCATGGGTTAATTCAGCCATGAGGCTCTGCCGTAGCTTATCATCGCTGGGCAACCCATGCAGTACAAAGTCTGGCACATAGGTGGGGCAGTAGCCTCCAAACAGAGACCGGCCAAAATTGGCAATGCTTGGCTTTGAGAAGTTCTCCACCAACTTTGACCTGTAAAATCAAACACATGACATGAGATGTTTGGGGTTTTTTTGGTTTTCAAAAGATAAAGACAGCTTATTATTCTCACTTATTCCCTGTTATCAGTATGGCAATAATTACTGGTTACAATTAAAGCACTTCATACCTGCTCACTGTTTATTAACAGAAAGAGAAAGTCAGCAAAGAAGTCTGTGAATGAATGTGTCAGTCCTCTACTCACCCCGGGAAGGGCACCAGCACTTCCTCCTGCCAGTCCTCGGTTTCCTCGCTCTCACTGTCCCCCAGCGCGCTGTCTGAGCTCTCGTTGCGCGGTATCTCCCAGTCGTTGACAGGCACCGCTTTACGCTTTTGGTCCTCTTTGCTGTTGATGCTCCCATCCTGTGGGATGGGGACTGACAACAGAGGACCCTTGTCCTGCTCAGCAGAACAGCCCCTGCAACAGCAGGTGTCAGAGGAATCTGTAGACCCACACCTGCACCTCCTCTGGGCATCCAACAAAGAGTCTCCCTTGGTGCTGGACCCAACCTCTCCACTACCTGAACCTAAACAGAGTCCCAAACCTTGACCCCGACCCGCACTCTGAAAACTGTGACTCCCCAGCTCACCAGACTGGGGGACTCCCGAGGGGTCTAGCAAGTCTTTGTGTATACTGCATGTGGAGCTGGCCTCCTGTTGTTTAGCCAAGTCGTCTATAGTCCTAGTCTCCACAGGGTTCTCCAGGCTGAAATACTCATCAAAATCGTCCATACAGTTTTGACTCCACTGGGGCATTTTACTGGACACCCGCTGTAGGGCTGGAGCCACCTTGGTCTGTTTGGTTTGGTCCTCTGTTGCACTAGTGTTGCTGGTCTTTGAATCTGCTCCTCTCAGCAGCTGCTGCGGTTGCTGTTGATAATGTTGCCCGTGATGATGCTGTTGTTGCTGCTGCATTGGGAACAGCTGCTGGTGTTTCTTGAACTTTTTAATTTCCTCATCCATCTTTCTCCTGCGGCTCTCTGTGTCCGACTCAGGGGACATGGAGTCTCCAATGAGGAAAGTGACTTTTGTTGCTGGCTCCTCTTCTTCTGTTAGAGTCAAAGCCATGGGCCCCGTCACAGTGTTTCCTGGTATCACTGGCACTGGCACTGCAGCAGCCAGGTTCTTATCTGGGGGCTTCTTCTCTAGAGGGATCCCCAACGGTCGAGGACCCAGCACTCTGGTGGGCTGGTTCCCCGTACCTGCGTCCATCCCAGTCTCTGCCCAAGAGTTTTTACTCTCTGTGGTCAAAGGTGTCGGGGATGGACTTGATGTAAGTGTTGCGGGTATGGATGGGACAATAAGTTTCAGGTCTCCCTTGGTCTCTGTATCCAGCACACAGACCTGCTCTCTAGGGGATGCCGAGCCAACACGCAGCACCGTCTCCAGTCTGGCCTCTGTGGCCAGTGGGCTGCTAGACTCCCTACGCATCTCCCCAGGTTCAGCTGCTTCTGTAGTCCTGATAATAGGGTTGTTACCCTGACTGTGTCCTGACTGAAGCACACTGCTCCTGGACCCTTGACTCTCACTGCTGTCCTCCTCCTCCTCTTCCTCCTCCTCCTCCTCCTCCTCCTCCTCCTCATCTTCCTCCTTGGGTGTGTCCCCAGCACCATGCTCCACTTCTGTGTCTGTGTATGTGCTGCTCTGGAGGCTATTGTCTGAAGGGTAGCTGCTGTCCTCCGCGTCAGTCTGCCGGCCGTGAGCCCCTTGAGACAAGTAGTCCCCGCTGGGTTTATGGACAGTAACCAGGACATAGTCCGACTCCTCCACCTCTCCTTTCCTTAGGGAGGTGGTGATAAGGGAGCCGGGCATGACAATGGCCTCATCCTCAGCGCTGTCCAGCATGTGGGTCTCTAGCAGCTCAGAGCAGCGGATGAAGTAGGTGAGGACGTAGAGGAGTCTCTGGACCAGCTCCTGTCTGCGGCCTACCACCACTGTCCTTGATAGCCGCACCGGTGACCCAATGGACCCGTACAGGTCTCCTACACAGTGATAGGGAAAGAAAAATAAACATTAGCAATGCTAAATGGGTCTTTAGATGTATCACTTTCTTTTTTTATTTTTGCAAATGGAAACTTCCCAAACTAATAAAGGTATGTTAAAACAATTGATTCTTCTTTTTAAAATTAACATCTGTACATTTATTTTCCAGTGTGCAGTTCTCACCTATGAACACCAGGTGTCACCATGAACTCACTTTCTGTATGAGTCCCATGTCACTTGAGGTGAAAGTGTGTTTAAAGGATATCCTTACTTGCTATATGCCCCCATCAATCACATACAGCTATACAAACAGTATGCAGATAGTATATAAGAAAAAAAGTCAAGCTTACTGAGGGTGTGTGTGTGTGTGTGTCTCACCTAGCTGTGCCCAGAGTGGGTTGTAGGGGTGCGTCTTTGCCAGCATGTCAACGCTCTTGGAAGAGTGTTTCTCCAAGAAGATCTTGATTGGGGGCTGCCCGTTGGGCATGACAGTGGGCACCCAGGCCAGATGATTGGTGAGGACGGCGGTCAATAATGCGGGGAGGAATCTGGAATAATAGATTTGGTATGGTCAGCAGACAGCAGAGGAGAATCCAAATTATTTCCTAGCTGAAATGTCTCTTAGTTTCCCTCCTGACCCCGTGTGGTTGGGGCAGATGTTTCCGATACAGGAAAACTTCAGTCAGATGTTTTCTTGCTCTACTGGACACCACATACACACATCCATTGTTTGCAGCATATACAGAGTGAATGACTCGCACGTACGCACACCATCTATTAGCATGATTCACTTCTCAGTCCTGACCACAAGTGTCTACTTCCCTTCCTGTCTCATGACTCAACACTGTAATGGTGGTCAAGTTCAATCATGTGCTAAACACAGTTGTGACTGCGGCAGTCATCAAAACCATGTCATGGGAATACTGCCGGGGTGCCTCAGAGAAGACGTAATGTTATACAGTAGGATGAGAGGTTGCCGGGGAGACACAATGCTTCAATCAGGAGTTATCATTATGCAGAAGTAGTTGCCGGTTAGTCATTCTAACCAGTGCTGGGGGAAATAGTGACTTTTACTGAGATGGCATGCTGATAAAGGAACACCAGTTGTTGCCTAGGTGATGCAGTTTCTACTTGAGATTAACATTTATTTTAAAGGTTGTTAACATTAAACACGCAGTTTTTCTATTATTTTCAATACAACTATTTGCTGTTGGAGCCAGAAACACATTGAACGATATCGTCATAATCATAATTTATTTACGGCACCAATCAAGCAACAACATCAAATATTCTGCAGGCTTCTAAATTTAATAGTTTGTCTAAGAGCTTGATTTATTCGACAGTAATCAAGATTAGAAAACACATATCTTTTTAAAACGTTCCCAACTATTCCTTTCCTTTAAGATCAATTTGATGTAATCATTTAGTTCCGAGTACTGAATGCTACTTAAATAAACCGTACTGAATACTGCTGCTATGTTCAATAAAGGCCTTGCTACCAATTCATATATGTACAATTAGCAGTGGTTTGACGTGGCTTTGTAACAGCAACAATAAGCAATTAGAGACTGGCAGAGATCTTCTCATTCACAGCTCCCTCTGAGGCAAACAAACAAATGCAAAGAGGGTGAAACATTCATAGTGTGAGCGTGTGCTTGTGTTTAAGTGTAAGAAAAGAAGAGAAAGGCCATGGACTGTGTGAATGTGGGAGATGGAGTGAATAGAGTGTGTGAACCTGCATGTGTTTTCCTGAGTTGATTTGCTCGTCCAGGAAGTACGAGCGCACAAAAGATGTGGAAAAACTGAGCATGTGAAACATTTCTGAGCGCTGCTGTGCGTGTCTTTCCCTCTTTATATTTGCAAGCTTGCTTGATTCCTGTTTGCTCTATTACTGCTTTCCTGCTCAGAGAAAATCAACTGGGGGTGAAGGGTCTGGTTTCCACAATATGATAGGTGTGAGTCTGAAAATGCATTCTAATGTAGTTCTTTTTCTTTTTAGAAATGCAGCGACTGATGGCGGACTAGGTGTGAGTACAAGTGGACACTCAACTGGTTCTTGGAGGCCTGCTCCATCAGCAGGGAGAGCTCCCTCATGAAGTGACCGCAGAGCTGGTTCTTCTCCGACGCTCCAGACATCATAGTCAACCAGACAGGCTCAGCCACTCGGGGCATGGTGTAGAGGTCGCAGATGGTCATCCTGTAGATGAGGTATGGCGAGGGAGGGATGAAAGAGGGAGAGGGCATGGAGAGAGCGAATGAAAGGGAAGGAGGGGAAAAAGAGAGAAAACAGACAGGGAGGGGGAACAGACGTGTTATTGTCTCTCGGGGTAAACAAAAGAGATCTCAGTTCACAGAGCTTCACTGTCTGCACTGAGGCCATGGGAGACCCTGGTTTTGAGTGTGTGTGTGTGTGTGTGTGTGTAACAGTCCGACGAGCTTGCGCTCACACACACACACACACACACACACACACACACAAACACACACACACAACCCTGTCTCTGTACAGCGCGCATGTGTGCTTGTATCTATCTGTATGTAGCTCAGTTGGTGCATTTGTCCATTGAGAAGGACTGGAGTTTCCATGGAACGTGGGGCGTGTTGGTGAGCATGTCTCGGCTGAAGGCCAAGCTTTGACACAGGGGCAGAGGGGAATCTCTGCAGCCCGAGGAATGTGGAGAATCAGGCGTTTTCAGTCGGAGCTGAAATATGGGCTGCAGCTGGTGGATTCTGGGTTTGAAAATGCAAAACTGTTTGGAAAATCAAAAAAAAAAAAAAGTGCTTACTCTAACTCCATGCAAACATATAAAGTGAATCCATACAACTGCAATCTTTAGCAAACACAGATAATGCACGCGCATAGCCAGGCTAATTTAAAGTAAACTATAATAAACGTAACCAGCTGCTATCACCCCAGGTTATCTCTCAAGACTTTGCAGGTCCTACTGATAAGGAATAAAAACTTAGTGCTGTTTTTCAAGCTTCATGTAGAGGAAACTGCAGATCTTAGATTGTAAACAAGGTTAATTCTGCAGTATACTCACAACCTCTTTGACCTATAAAGAACCTGCTGACAGAGGAGATGTGGACAGGCTGCATGCTGAGAGAAAACGCAGGTGTCACACACTGAATGTGACCTAGTTCTTCAAAATTCCAGTAATCAAGCTAGTCTAGGTTGAGGTATACTTTCAAAGAAAACAGGAACACTGTGCAATTTTTGTTTATGAGTTTATGAGAAGAAGTTAACTGGATGCAAAAAGAAGAACTAACGACTTCAACTGCATCGCAATATAGTTGTTGCAAGGAGTTCTTTTTTGACTTAACTGTTGAGTGTTGTAACTCCAAACCACCTCTGTAGATTCATAGCAACACAATGACAGTTACTGTGGTCGTGTGTAAGGATGCAAATACTGAGAAAATTGCTTGATTGACTGTCTTTACGTTTTCTTTAATAGCTAAATGTTGCTTTATAATGTAAATTAAGCACAAAAAGTAAGGAAATGTGTGTTTGGTAGATTGTGTCTTTGTTGTAACAATGCTTCTTGGCAATAAATCTCATACTGTTGGAAAGCCTGTTTATTTCCCTTTTAAATGGTGCCACATTTGTAAGGAACATGCATTTGTGGGATGAGCAGCAGAGCTGAGTATGTGGGTTGCGCCCATGAAAAATTTGCCAAATCCTCTCTGCCAATGCCAAACAGCTTTTTTTGCTGTTGACTCTTGTTTGGTGTTGTTTGGTGGATTGGATGATTGAAGTCTGAAGAAACAAGACGTATTGGCAATTTAACAATTTATTCATTTAACAAACAGGAGCCTCAGTAGAGTGTGGAAGAACCAAACACAGCCACAACAGCCCGGCACCTCCTCCTCATGCTGGTCACCAGCCTGGTCACACACTGCTATGGGATGGCATCCCATTCTTCAACCAGAATTTGTCGCAAGTCAGCCAACATGGTTGTGTCGGTCACTCTGGCATGAACAGCACACCCAAACTGATCCCACAAGTGTCCAATGGGGTTGAGGTCAGGACTGCTGGCAGGCCATTCCATCCTCTCCACTCCCTAATTCTGGTGGTAGTCTTTGATAAACCCTGCTCTGTGGGGGCTAGTTTTGTCATCCTGGAGGATTGAGTTTTGTCCCAGACTGTGGAGATATGGGATTGCCACTGGTTGCAGAATTTCATCTCGATATCTCTCTGCATTTAGATTGCCTCCAATGATGACAATCCTGATTTTTTCAGTGACGGAGATGCCGCCCCACACCATCACATTGCCTCCACCAAAAGATGTTACTCTATCGGTGCAGCAATCAGTTCTCCGTATCTTCTCCACACTTTGACCCTACGATCCAACCTCCGTAGGGCAGAATCAGGACTCATCGCTGAACATAACATTCCTCCACACGTTCAGGTCCCAGTGCATGTGTTGCCGACACCAGCGCAAACAGGCCTGATGGATAAGGGCAGTCATGGCAGGCCTCCTGGCAGCCCTATGAGACTGGAGATTGGCTGCGTGAGATCCGTTCCAGATTTGTCTGGCCAGAGAGCCGTCGGCAATATCATCCTGCAACCCTTGACTGCAAATCTGTTGAAGACTGCCTACGGTTCCTAAGTGTTGACAGGATGAGGAAACGGTCTTATTGGGGTGCCGTCTTCTTGGGACGCCCATTGTCTCTGACAATGATGTTATACGGAACTTGGCCTTCGGTGCGCAGATGACAGGGCCCACTCCAAATAATGCCTCAACTTGGTTTTGCAGAACACCATCTTGAAGTTGCCCTATCGCACGGGCCCTATCCAGATCAGTCAAATGTGGCATGCTGATTCTTAGAGCAGACACCAACTGATCACTATAGCAGGGCCCATGCTCATACCTGGGGGTACGAGAAGCTCAAAACAAGAGTCAATAGCAATGGCAAAAAAAAGCTGTTTGGGATTGGCAGAGATTTGGCAAATTTTTCATGGGCAACCACATACTCAGCTCTGCTGCTCATCCCACAGATGCATGTTCCTTACAAATGTGCTACCAAAAAGGGAAATAAGCAGGCTTTCCAAGGGTATAAGATTTAATGCCAAGAAGCATTGTTACAACAAAGAAACAATCTACCAAACACACATTTCCTTACTTTTTGTGCTTAGCTTAGATATAAATCTTTAGTTTGATTAAATGTTCAATTAGTCAAAGAAATAAGTCATTCAACAAGTGTTTTACAAAACTTACAACAGACTCCAGTTTGACTTTTGCATGAGATCATTATGTAATCTGAGCTTGACTAATCAAAGTCTTCACGAGAATTAATCAATCATTGCTCAATCATTAATTAACAGCAGTGAGAGGCCACAGTAGGGCAAACTAGAATGGACTTGATGTCATTTGTAACTCAGCACACCCAAAACATGTACCCGACTCTCTTTACATCTCGTTGTCAGCAGGGCAGCACAGATGATCCGGCATTTGGCCTGCAGTATCAAATGACCTAATAATGCTTTATTCATTCCTGTGTTATAAACAGGCTGACTTATACGTGGCCTTTTCCTGCCCCACGGGACCTTGCTGTGTCTGGTGTACATTCACCTACTGAAAGCCCCCCCCAGTGGGCTGAATGGCTGAGCTGGTGCTTGATGAGTGGTAGATCTTGTCTGTCTGCAGCAGCTGTTCAGGTGAACTTTAAAGAGCGCGGCTGTGATGTGAAATTAAACTGTTGTGTCAGATTTTAATTACCTCACTATGGAGGGAAGCAATGCAAACAATTCTGACCTCATCTGTGGCTTCGGACTTATGTTGTGTTTACCTTTGCCAACATAAACAGCCTTGTAAATATTGCAAGTTAAAGCTGTGCAGTTATGGTCATTTAAATATTCTGGATCCAATAACTATTCAATATCTCAACTTGGGCTAAAACTGCATTTTTAGCATGGCATGCATGTATTTTTTTTAGGTAAAAATAAATGTTAGTGATTTAGCACTCAGTCAGATGTTTAGTATAAAATAGAAAATTCTGCATTATAAATTTTGCTGGGGTGGATTTTAACTGCTATTTGGTCACCCTTTTTAAGCTTTGATTCAGTTCACTTTATGCTCTGAATTACCCACAGTTACTGATGGCTGCCATTTGGTGCATATTTTTATCCAAGGTGCTTTAGAGAAGGATAAGTGCACTTTCTCATGCATGTGTGCTAAAATGGGAATTAGACTCCTAACCCTTGTGTGTTAAGTGTTCCTCTCTCTCAGTAGCCCTGCTTTTTTCTCTTAACTGTAAACCCTAACATAACCCCAGTATAGGCTGGTGTGACTTTTATGTTCACATGCCTCTGCTAAGTACGCAGCTTATCTTTGCCAGCATGCGTGGGTATGTGTGCATGCCCACCCTCCAACTACGTCAAAGCAGAATCAGCATCAAGCAAAGGCATTTCTTCCAGTTTCCTTCTGTAATGTTCCATGAAGTCAAAACCCCTTAATGGCAAAGGTGGTTACACTTATATTTAGCTGCTGTCTGAAGGTGAGATTTTACAGATATTTTGTTTGTCCCCAGCAATAGCTTTCCTCCTGCTGGCACTCGCATATTATTTACTATTCTGGTGCTCGTGGCCAGTGTCTGAGGTAGATAGGGTTGCCACTCTGGAGGCTTGGGTTGCTGTGGCCAGCTGCCAACAGGCATATGACTGCAGCAATAAGGGGACCTCAGACAGGGCACTGCCTGCCAGTGTGAGTGAGTGTGTGTGTGTGTGTGTGTGTGTGTGGCCAGTGAAAGTCGTGGTGGGGGCAGGCATGTGTGCACACACTTGGGATAACTTAAAATAAGTTTGCGTGATTTATGAGCACCAAACAGTCATACTGTACTGACAGCCATGTCTCCGTCATACACATAAACACATTTTTAGAATCTAGTCGGTACAAATTTATGATTGAATATCTGATGTCATAACAAATAAAAGATTAAATCATTCTTGGAACCTGAAAAGAGCATCATCGATATACCGGGTAGTTGTGGTGCAGAGTTGAGAAGTAACTGGTAGCTTCTAAAATGTCAGCCAGATAAGCTTCCCTAAACACAACCAAAGCCTTGGAGCAAGACTCCCAGCATGCACTGCAGTTACAATGCAATGTCTGTGGTTTGCACAAGACAGGTAGAGAACAGCGTGTTCCTCCTTTCTTTAACCCGACATATTTCAACATGTCTCACTGGAGCTGAGTATCATGTTATTGTTTAAATAATCGATTCATTTAACAGGGAACAAACTAGCATGTGAGGGAGGGCAGGGAGTGTTAGCATCACACTATCCTCACACTATCCTCACACATAAACCACAGTGAGTATTCATTAATTATTGATTGCTGCGATACCTCAGCACACTGTATCAGTAACAGGAGCGGAATGACACAATCCGTTACCTCACCTCTGTCGTCTTCAGATTCCCTAAATTCACCTTGTTATATACAGACACTACCTGCTCACTGACAGCTATCGTGTAGCCTGTGCTAACATCATTAAAGCAATGAACAGCAGCATTTCATTTAACAAAGGGGCATTTAAGGAAACATTTATGACAGTTATATCTTAAAGTAATGGGGCCATTGCCTTGTGAACATAAGAAATATTACAGAAGAAAAATGTTTTCCTGTAGACCACATTTATAGATGAGCTGCTTCTTTTGTCTGCAGGCCGCAGCTGGTGAATATCAGATGTTATCAGCAAAAACACTGTTTACCACCTGCATGATGTACTAAAAAGACACTTTAAATGGTGCCTGGTAACCCAGTAGCTTAACAAACTATGCTTGGAATGAAAGGCACGTGAAAAATACTCAGTGTCATTAAGGCTACCCAAATGTTGGTGCCATAACATGAGTCACACAGGATTGGTATGGGTACTTGGTGACCTACTTTAGGGAACATTAGAGGGCTAGGTCTCGCATAAAATGCATGGTAAGCCCTTTAGATGTGGGTGAACTTTGTTTTGAAGGACTTCAAATGGGAAATCTGTGATGTCAAAGATTGTTTTACTGGAATAAATTCTATAAAAGCTGCTGATAAATCCTACTGTGGAAAACATAAAAAACAAAAGAAGAATATTATGGAAGATATGACATCATTTGCCGTAAGTTTAGTTTCACGCCTATTTTTCCTCTCCTCTTTCCCACTGCCGCACCAATATTCTAAATGTTCTTAACCTCTCCGTTCTTTTTCTATCACACCTGCATCTCCTGCCAACATTTCTTCACCACCAGGAAACAAAATCCTACAAACCACACAGTTTGCAAGTGTTGCTAACGACAAAATAAATGATACATGTAGCATCCAGTTCCTGGAAACTAATTTTAAATGTCACATTTTTCCTAAGTCTCCATGATGTGAAATCTTGCTATGTACCCAGGAATAGAGTTGTGTTTGGCCACAGTACATAGAAACCGAGTGACACTGTGACGTTGGTTTTGGTGAGCTGAGTTTTTGAGAGTTTGAGAATAAATGTTCAGTAAAAAGAAACTGTGAGCAACTGCGTTGGTCCCATTGTTGTCATTTATGTCCGACTGCTGAATTCTTGTGTTATATCGCAGGATAATCTCAGTTACACAAATATTAAGTTATAAAGTATGCAATGTGATATCGTTGGCATAAACACTCCCTAAAAGTTTAACTATGATGTAAGGTGTTGTTGCAGGAGAAATAAGGAAAAAATTATACAAGATTATTGTCTTTGTCACAGTGAGTAAATCTGAGTTGTTGCCTAACCTGAACTCGTTCAGTCCGTCCACCATTCGACTGTAAGCCAAGGCTCTCTGGCTGGCATCAGCTGACCGTCGACTCATCTTCATGGCCTTGAGAGTGAAACGACACACATGCACTTTGAGATATTTGGCACTGAAGCCGACAAAGTTAGAGGAAAGGTGGAGCAAGGAATTTGTGAGGGAGACGAGAGGAAGGGGGGGGCTGGAGGGAAGATGGAGGGTAAAACGGGAAGTCACCCAGAGCTCTGACGGTGCCAACAACAGACACCAGTAAACAGAACCGCAGATATACAAGGTATGACCATTGACCGGTCAATCTGACAGCAACTCTGCTCATTACAACAGCAGAGGGTGTAAGGTTTGCATTCAATACTATTCATGTCTCACTGCTAACTGGATTTCACTGACAGGCTCATCTTCACAGTGTCAATCAGGGAGGTGATGAAGAATATAAATGCAAGAAAACTGTCATCTTCCACTAAAAAAGCATGATGGGAAATAAACTAACACATCAAAACAATCATCTTTGGAGTAACTAAATAGGTAATTGCTGACATCAGTGAAGGAGAACACAAAAAACAACCAGCTGATTTGTACCAGCAGTTAATTCACCTGTTCGATAGCGCTCTTGAGCTTGTTCATGTGGCTTTCAAAGAGAGGGAAGTGGGAGAAAAAGAAATCCTGGAAGCGGTTGTTCTCCTCAAGGTTGGGGGACAGCATGAAGATGACCCCGATGGCAATCTTCTTCTTCCGAGCCACGCCAAGGCTTGGTCCACCGCTTTCGTCAGACATGTTGAAGCTCTCCTCGACTGACCTGATCAGGACAAGACACACACAGGGTCAACTTAGGAGCAGAGGCAGATCCGATACAAAAATAAATCTGACTCCTTGGGCTTTTGCCCATGAAGGTCATAAAGATATATATTACCCAACATTTTACATCATGGGTTAGAATACTGTTTCACTCTCCTTTGGCAAGTGTCTTTCTTGTACCTTTGCAGCAGGTTAATACTGCTTAGATGTTACCAGTAAATATTCTTCACACAACATTTCTACCTGTTACAACAGTTAAGCTGATAATTATACTTAGACACATCTGTTAAGCAAAGAAAAGGTGTAAAAACACTTTTAATCCTGGTCTTTTTTTTACTGTTTCAGCTGGCAAACAAGACGCTTTGGTGCTGCTGAACTAGAGCGCCTGGAAGATTAGAGCACTCAGAGGCTGACAGCTGCATTTGCAGTGACAGGCCAACACAGCATCCTGTCTAGTCACAGCACTCTGTGTGTGTGTGTGTGTGTGTTTTTTTGAGCGCAGTTATTAGTGCATAGCAGCAGTGTGTGTCATTTTCCCAGCTGCCTGCTGGATTCTGAGGAAGTCCTAGCAAGATAAACTTTACAAAAGCCTGTCGGAGCGAGGCCCTAAACAAGGAAGAAAAATGGGGGGGGGGGGGGGGGTCAGCAACTGGGAGAGACTCTGTTCAGTGTGTGTTTGGAAAGTTGCGCAGAAAAAAAACACAGAGCTTAAACACTTGTCCCTGTCTCCAAACGGGCACTATAACTACTCTCTGGGCCCGTACACATGCTGTATTTGCACCTCAAATCCATTGTTTTCAATTAAGACATGCAGAAGGCATGCTCATAAGTGAGACCGACTCTGGCGCGGCACACAAGCGCTCCTCAGGGCCTAACAGCTACGCCTTGAGGTAAATAAATTTCAACTGTTGGAACATAGCAACATGCACCACATCATGTGATGAGAAACGGGTAGTGTCATTTCAGTGCAGAGCTTTACATCTCTCCCACAGACAACATTTTAGGTCCAATACACGCTTAAAAAATATGCCCTGGAAGAAAATCAGAACCTAACTTGGAATTTCTAGTCAGTAGACTATGTATTCTAAGTGACCATAACCAGCACTGTATCAACCTCAGACACAACCTGCCTCCGCACCCTTGAAAGTTGACACAGAGTAGACACAAGACTAGGACCCAGTGCCCAACCTCGCTTTTCCAGGTTCCAGTTTAAGACGTGGCGTGTGTCCCCGCCCTAAGTGTGTGCATGTGCGTATGAAAGATTTGACTCTCTATTGCTGTTCACACATATTGATTGTACTTGCACTGCATTTATGATTGTATGTGTCTCACCATCGGGGGAAGACGCCGTTCTCCAGGCTGGTGGTTTGGCTGCGGAGCCATCGGCGTTGGTAACTGGACGCACAGCTGCTGGTCAGGGAGGAGCCCGGAGACGGGAAGGGAGTGATCAACAGGCTGCTCAGAGACGCTAAAGGGTGGAGAGAAGGATTGGAAGTGGATAGAGGAGAGAAATTAGGGGAGCAAGAAAAGAGGAGAAGGAGAGCAGAAGGGAACAGGGAGCAGATGGAAGGAATAGTGGGTGACACAAGAGCAAAAGGACAAGAGTGAGTCAGACAACAAGTGCGTAGGGTTACTCATTCTCAATGACACACTGTACACACACATACACACACACACACACACACACACACACACACACTACCACACAGAGCGAGACAAAAAATCTCGAGGAAAGCGACTGTTCTTACTAAGACAAAGAACTTGAAAAGGGCAAAAGTAACAACACACAAAGACACACAAACACACTTTGAACCACACACATCCCTCTCTCTTCTTTTCCTCTAATTTGCTGGATAGTTTCATATGAGATCTAATATCAGTTAGCCTGCTAGCAGTCACATGCTGCAGTTGTTGGAAAACCTGGCTTTACACCAGGCTGACACAGTAATAACAACCTACCCACACACAGGACACAAGCCCTGATCACCGGGTTATTTACAGCACAGGCAGCACGCACTGAACAATGGTCACATGAGCCATTTACATAGTGTGTGATCTTTAGAGACAATGAGAGATAACCTTAATTATAATGTATGAAAATAAACCTGTGGGAATTGCAGAAAAGCTACAATAATAGAAAAAGTAGACGGGGTAAGACTTTGTGTCACAGAGGAGCGTGTATGTATTTGTGTGTGTCAGACTAAGCTGAAGAGCGCTCCAGTCCAACCGTAGTGGGGAGGAGGAGAGAGGGGAGATGAGAGGACGAGGCTTGAATTAGAAGCTCATTTACTAGTAGCAGGTTTTGAGCTGCTATATTTAATCCTCTGCATGTGACCCGGGTTTGAGCAGAAAGCACAATTCCCCTCATACCAGTCATGCCAGTGGGGCATGGTGGTGTTTGTAGAGGGGGGGTAGGGGGCAGAGTGGGGGGAGGCAGGGGTCAGTTTCCATTGCACAAGGTTTTCCAGGCTCTAGAGGCCCTGTAAACACCTCCTCAGTGTCTTCCACCCATTCATCTTTCTTTGTGGTATTAGGTCAAAACATGTAAATCTTTTTAGAGTCAGCAGTGGAGAGAGGAATTAATTACCCTGCATCTCCCTTTATCACTTTTCCTTTCCACACACACCCCAGTCAGCCTCGTGAGGCTTCACCTATGGGTGGATTTAATGAATGGAAAACTGCGCGCATGTGTGTCTGCATGCCACAATAGTGAAGTCGTAGCTTAGGACCACTGTTAAAGTAACCAGCGCTTATGTAACCGTTCATGCTCTTGACCTATAATGTCAAGTGGTGACCTATAATGTGTCTGAGGTGAAAACAAGAAGACAGAAACGTTCTATGAAGTAATTTCCTGTCTCACACTCGCTCTTCTCTGTTCCTTTGCCTCTTTAGTCTCAACAAGAATAGATGTAAACCCAATTCAAAGCTCAAGTGTAGGGCTGAAAGCACACCTAGCCGTGTTGAGTGTAGGTCAATCCAGGCTTAGGCTCATAGTCGCATTAACCTACCTGACCTGGCGATGCCACTGTCCCTCTCGTCGTAAAGCCCTCGGCCAGGCATGTCCATGGGGTGACTGTGGCCTGGAGGAAGGGAGGAGGAAGGAGGAGAGAGAAAGTGAAGTGTTGGATTAAGGGTAAAGGAAGAGGTCAAGACAGAGGGCAGGAGGAGACAAAGGTAGATGCGTAAGAGAAATGACAGATAGAAGAAAATCAAGGAAAATAGAAGTTAGATAAAGAGTAGGAAGGAAAGGAAAGGAAAGGAAAGGAAAGGAAAGGAAAGGAGGGCAAAAAAGAGACAAAGATCAACATGTGAGAAACACAAACTGTAATCAACACAATGGAGCACCAGTCATGCTGAGGATGCTCTTATTATCACCAATCAGAGCCTTGTAATGCTCTTCTACTTCATAAACAAATACAGAGGTTTATGCTTTTGGATGCTTCACATGCTCAGCATCCATTTCCAAGCTATACCAAGAAATCTAAATTACTCCCTAAAGAACTTCAACCACTGAGGTAAGGTTGAAAATGCTTCAAATGACCCAAGGCCTAGTAGCTTATTTAAAACAACTGTATCACTATTAGACTATGAACCACACAGCTCCCACATGTGAGGTCACCACAACAAAGGCTAGGTCTCGGATTAATTTCTACTGTGAAATACCGGTTACTGATTGATTCTCATGCTGTAAGTGCACCCTTTTGTTTTGTAAGACCACAAACAGGAAGCACCGCAAGCAACACAAATTGTCGCAACAGGCAATTGCTCACTGACTCACGCCCTGTCACAGTATCTACAGCAGCTGCTCCGGCTTTGAGGTAACTTTCTACAACAGACACCATAATATGGATGTCACCGAGCCTGTTTGCTTGCTCTCAAATGTCCTTCGTGTCAACACTTTGAGCTCGAAATGGGAAAAATGTCAATGCTTCTCACAGCAGAGAGGTGTGAAAACCACAAATGCAGCATTTCAACGTGCAGTCGAGAGCACAGATCTGGATGAGATGATTAATGAGCACACCAACACGAGCTTTTGTTGCAAAGCATTCGAGTGTTTGTGTGTGAGTGTATGTGCACTGCTGTGGCACACTGTGCTTTATGACCATACCAACACTGCATAACTAGAGGCCATGCCAACCTAAGGGTACCCTGAACAGGATTGTGGGTAGGAATCATGATGCATAGAGACGCTCTTTTGATAAAACTCACCATCACTTTGCTTGATTATCATTATTCTATTGCCGCACTCAGTCAAAGTTGCTGTTTTAAAAACTAAAATGCATTTGTCTTTTTTTTCCTAACACTGCTATTACATGGGCAAGGTTTAAGGCAATACTACTTGCAGAAGCTTTGCAGTGGGTGTTATATTACGAGTATGGAAACGAATGCTGATATCACACAGGCCCCAGGCTGTAAAGAACAAGTTTTCAGTGTGTGTCACTGGTGGCAATAACAGTCTGAGGATTCCCCACTGTGCCCGCCCACATTATGTACCTCATTTTAGGAAGTCGATTGTGACTGAAATATTACTGGTTTGAATACAGCACAGAGAGTGGATGATGAGTAACTATTTCCTTAGCACCAAGGTGCCCTTGAACAAGGCATTTCCCCACTCAGTGGCCCACAGCAGATTGTGTAACCGTGTGCAATTCTATGGAAGGGATCGAGGATGTTCCCACATGTGTAAATGCATGCTCAGGCAATTTTTACTGCGTCATTAAAAGGTTTATAAGGGAGAAAATGAAAGCTCATTATAGAACAGCCCACTGAATACCAGCAGAGTACTAAAGATGCTGTCATAGCACATGAAGCCTAAAATCATTCACAGTAAGTGGCAAAGTGAAGTTAGTGAAAGTGTGTGAGTGAAGATCACACAGAGAAGGAAGAAAGGGAACTGCAAAAACTTAAACTAGAACTATAGCCGCCGACACCAGTGAGAACCCATGCACACTATTTCTACGTGCGTCATACACCTGCAGGCCTGGGTCAGATAGTTTGAGGTTCGAGGTAGGCGAGGTTGTCTTTTTTGACACTGCCAGTAGCCAAACAACGGACCAGAAGGTGTCTGAAGCAGTACATATCCCTTTGAGATCTACTCAGCGGCAGTTTGTGTTATTAAAGTTCACTGCCAGTTTCAAGTGAATCAGCATTTGTAAATAAAATTCACAGCTCGTTTATTGGTGTGGATGTCTTGGAGCAGGGCAGGGAACGGCATTTTCACAGTTAATTGGTGCCACTTGGGTGTGAATCCAAATGCTGCCACCTGCCCAAATGAACTAATTTTAGGGGCGACATGATGTTGTTTTACAGAACATGCCAAGCACGCCTGGTGGGAACCACCTCAAACAACAGTTTCTGCAGCTTCTATCTGACCCAGGTTATTTGCAGACGTGCCGTGATAGTGCATGCTATGACTATTGGTACCACTTCTAGTGTAAGAATCACCACACAGGCATGCAGCCGCTGAGAGTCAAGGCCTGTACAAACAGTGCTACTGCAACTACAGCCTACACACACGCATGCAACTGGCACACATCACTCATGGCCAGTATTAAGCGCCAACCTGAAAAGAAAGATGCGCTCTTGATGAGGCGCAGAGGGCCCTGTTCAGAGAAGGCCCGTCGAGGGCTGCAGAGCTGAGAAAATCCTGCGCAGCACAAACAAAAACATGGAAAAGAAGAAAGGGAGGAAGAGGGAAGAGAGACAAAAAAACATGAACCGTGGTTAGTGAATGAGTTAAGGAGGAAAGCTGGCTGCCTCCTGTTGTCCGACCAACTCGTAGTAAACAACTGAGTTACAGGAGCTTTTTAGTCTGGAATGAAACAACGACCATCATCTGGTGGGTCAGTCAGTCAAAGAGACAAACAAGAAGGCTGGTATCACTCACAGAAAACACAGCTGATCATCAGCTTTACATCAGTGATGTGTACAAGTTTTGTCTTTTCTGTGAGTATAACAGAAAACGCACAAAACGATAGAATCTACCAACAGTTCTGTTTTTAATATTTTTATTTCTACTGGGAGCCTGTTGTACTCTGAGCCTGACTCGTAGGGTCTTTGATTTCAGTTTTTCAGATACATTTTTTGCACAGAGTTTCACCACACATAACAAGCACAGTCACTAAGAGTTTCAGTGAAGCACCAGATGAGTCACAACAGAGATATACTGCTATGAATATGTGTTGGGATAAGAGTAGACTATGCAAATGTGCTGGAAAAAAAAAAAAACACAACAACTTGTGCTTGCGAGGCCAGTTTAAACGTTCTCCAACTGTTCACGAGGTTAGTGCAGGGGAGCAGTAAAGGGAGAGCTGTTGGCAGAGTCTATCCAGCCTGGTTTGTATTCAAACAGGAATGTTAAAGAGTCAGAGAGCAAGAAATAAAATCAGCTGATTCCTCACAGTTCTACAGAGGCACTTCAACTGTGTAAACTAAACTTAACAAAAAATTGACATTGCAGATAAACTGTAAATAGTGTAATTTTCTCAAAGGGAGTTAAAAGCACTAACAGTTAATGAGGCAACATAAGAGACTACATAAGACGTACGTGCCCTACATCTCGTTTCAGGAAGAAAGTATCTCCACCAAGTGTCATTTCACTCTACCTATAACTGAACTGAAAAGAAACAGGACTGCTATCATTGGTGGCTAAAGATGGTTTGATGTGGCACTGGGTGTCTGTGGTTACCTATGTTCCCTAGAAGACTGTGGGGCCCGGTGTTCTGATCAGGCCTTAGGGTGTTGCTGTCCTGTCCAATGAACTCTAGGCTGTCCTGTAACCTGCGTAAGATCAGAAAACCAAGGACAAAAGTTAGGAGGGTAATTACAACACTATTATAATTACAATATATAAATGCATGCAAGTGTGAAAGACAGCAAAGATTTTTTTTTTTAATATATTCAAAGTTGATGACAGTTAGGGCACATAGTCTGTAATAGCCTACTGTGACAGACTGTGTTCAACTAGATGAAGAGAGACAGAAAGACAAACTGACAGAGTCCCTAGTTGACATAAACAGGGAATACAGACAGTAACTAAGGCAGATGGAGAGGGGGAGAAAGATGAGCTGAGGGTGTATCTGCATGTGCCGGCTAATGGCAGAAGCTGCTCCAGGAATCAGAGCGAGAAGGGCGTGTTGATAAGCATGTGTGCGCTTACGTGTTGAGGCTGCCGTACACACTGCCTCCCGTCCTGGCTGTGAAGACCTTACTCAGCATCAGCTGAGGCGGTGATCTGATACATACGATAGCACAGGGACACAGATCATCATTATCTATGCTTGGTTCATGTGCTTGTGCATGTTTGTGCTTCTCTCACAGCTGACCTCATTTGTCCCTTCTTCTACCACACACACATTTGAATCCAGTCCTAAAAGTCATGTGAAATGTTTCTGCTTTCTCTACGGCCAATGCTACAATGCTTAAAAGACATTGATGCATGTCATTTCTCATTACCTGATCTGGTGGATTTTTAGCGTGGAACCTTTGTAGCTCATAGCAACAGAGCCAAACATCATTTCCCCGAGCATTACCACATCAGACGAACACCTCGAACCCTGGTGAGGACAGGAGAGGAGGAGCACATGTTTTTGTTACCCTCAAAGAGAAATGAACTACACAGTGAACTGAGGATTTTCTTGTCTATGCATGCAAGTGAAAGATAAGTGTTACCTGGAAGCGGAGGCCCTGCTCCTTTGTTTCCTTGGTTTCTGAGGTGCAGGAGGACGAGCTGTCCAGGGAGCTGCTGCTGCCTCCGGTAGGACGGAGCTGGCAGCATTTCCCAAACATCTTCACCTGGCCCTCCGTGCTCTAAGGGGTTAATAATAAAGTATTACGGGCCAAGTACCATGAACACAGGCTCATTTAACTCATCGTAAAATCACAATACACTTAAATCATTCATTCATGTAGAGTTCAGCTTACATAGTTTGACTTAATGATGAAAAACACCAGTATTTACTGCCTTGTTTGCAGCTACTAAGGATGTAAACAAACTTGAACAGCCTCTGAAAGCATAAATAACTGGTAGAGTACAAAGTATATCAGCCATTTCCATCGTTTCATCAGCCGAGATGAGTTTTCCCTTCATATATACGGAAGCCTACAAAAATGCCCTCCCTTTGCCTTAAAGAATTCAGCAACAATAGTTCAACTTTTAGAGTTGCTTTTTGTTTTTTGTTTACTTATTCCCAGTGAATAGTTAGGGACTAAACAACAAAACAAAAGGAATATGCAAAAAAGAATATGCAAAAAGAGCTGGAACCTTGAGCTATCTTGTGCACATGAAGTCACAAAGACAGATGCAGACAGTGTTTTTAAGTTCTTAAAAGGCTTGTGCCCTTTAATGTGGGAACAGCCCATGCACATGGGGACAGATAACAAAGTCATGAGGTTTTATTGCAGGAGGATTTCAGTTCTGGCCTCTGCTAACATAAACATAATGGTAGAAACCGACTGAGAGCCGACTACAGCTATAAAAAGTCACATTTTCTGTCTAATTTCACCCCAATGTCTCTAAAATATAAAGTCACTGGCCCTTATCGGGTAAAAATAAATGAAATTGAATTGTTCAGGTCACAAAACCACAGAAACCTGATCCGGAGGCACTTGTGTAAACAGCAAACTAAAAGCAATGTGAGCTCAATCAGCCTGTGTCATGTGCCTTCTTAACTTGGCAGCCTATTCAAGAGGAATGCATTTGAGAGGGCGGGGAGCAGAGGGGGAGGGTGTGTGTGTGTGTGTGTGTGTGTGTGTGTGTGTGTGTGTGTGTGTGTGTGTGTGTTTTAGCTAGGCTCTGGTAATGGCTCACTTGAAACCACTGTCGCTGCCAATGTAAGAGAGGAAGAGAAAGGAGGGGAAAAACGAGAGGGGAGACCAAAAAGAAACGGGGAGATGAGGGGAGAAGGAAAACAGGCAGAAAAAGAAAGATTACTGCTTCTCCTTCATTCTGCTCTTTCACACTGTGCATTAGCAAACACTGTGGACGTGTATGCAACTTTCTGTGTAATTTTCTTGTTGATTTTTGTCGCAAACACACACACACACACACACACACACACACACACACACACACACACTCATGCTAATGAAGCCATGCAGATTCTGGGCGAGCGTGTGTTTCAGTGTGTACGTGGGTGTGTGTGTGTCCGCTGCAGTGCAGTGTGAGGTGTGTACACAGAGGCCAGCAGCATGTGACTGCCAGTCATATGACTCTTTCGGGAACTCGTGAGCGAGCAGCACTGCAATCATTCCCTCCCTCCCTCCCTCCCTCCCTCCACCACTCCAGTTTCATCCCTCTCTAATTCCTGCAGCTTTCTTTCTCTCTTTTAACACATCCACTTCTTTCCTACACAAAATTCATCTTCTTTTCTAGCTCCCTCTTTTCTTATATTCTACCATTTCCCAACCAACTCCCCCCTTTTCTTTATTCTACAGTCTCACACGTCCCATGCATGCTCCATCCATCCCTTCTTTCTCTATTCCTCATTCTCTCTGACCCTGTGTGCTTTACTTGTTCCTGCTGTTGATCTCTCTAATTCCTCTGAGTTGACAAAAAACAACAACAAAAAAAGACAAAAAAAACAGCCATCATGTGATAGAAGTCACACTGTAGCTGGCAAAACCCTAACGATGCAGAATGCACCAAAAATATTGACATCACACCAGGCACACACACACACACAAACACACACTTTGCACAGACTCCTCTTACTGCAGTTCTCTATGCAATATCTTATCTTAAAACAAAGACACACACACGCACTGCATAACTCTTCTTATTGCGGTTCTCTATCTGGCACCAGGCCTATCCAAATGTAGTGCTTCAGTGAATCCATGTGTATGAGTTACGAAAGTTGAGCAAACAGACAATCCAATTGTCAAAGTCAGGGTGTCATAACACAGCAGGAGTGTGTATCTGTGTGCGTCTGTGTGATGGAAAGGTTATGGACGTGTTAATGAGGCAGATGGACAGGCAGACAAGAGAAGGTGAGGCATGACAGGGAGAAATCTGGTGAGGGGAAAAAAAGAGACAGGCCAAGGAGGAAGCAAAATGGCAGGTCAAACACATAGGTGAGACGGAGGTGGAGGTGGAAAACGAATCATGGGAGACAAAGACAGACAGGAGGGACGGAGAGGTGTCGAGTGACAAGTTTGAGAAATTGTGAGACACCACGAAGACAGGTAGAGTACGGCAGGGAGAAAAAAAAACAAAAACAAAGACGGGCTGAGGTAGAGGGCGGTCCGGACAGGTAAAAGGAGATTCAGGAGGAGAGGAAGATAAAGCATGCATTTTCAAAATGGAGATGGGGAGAGAGATTTAAGAATGAAAGAGGATTAGAAATGGGTGGATAGGGACACAGGGGACAGAAAGGGCAGGCATGTAAAGATAAATAAAAAGGTAAAGACTGATTTATAAAAGCTCACAGAGATAAGAAGGAAAGATGCAGAGGACAGTAATCAGAATCAAGAGACAGAAAGACAGAGAGGGGATACACAGCTGATTTAGAGAGGGAAGATGCAGAGTGGGAGGAAAATTTAATGAGGGTGAGACCAGAGCGGAGACAGATGAAGACAGATAGAGACACAGAGAAAGACAGACAGCGAGTGACACGGCTGTCATGTGAGGATGAAAGAATGCTGCTTACACATGGGCTGTCAGCTGAGGCTATTATTATTGGAGATAAGAGCTCCAGAACAAACCGGTCAGGGTCAGACACAAACACACAGCAGCGTTATGACAAATATTAGGCATGGCATTAAAAAGGAAAAAAAAAAAAAAAAAAAAAGTGGTGAGCGTGTGTCACCGTTTGTTGAGGAAAAAGCAGGTGCACTATGGGAGACACCATATACCCAGAGCTGGTTGTCAAAAGACATAATTAATGTTTGAAAGCTATTGTGGCACACACCCTGATAAGGACTGCCATGTCGTAGTGAAACAGCTTTTATTATCACGTCTCACTGGCCGAGATGGGTGTGTTGACAATTATCCGTGGCTGACGCTCACGCACTCACTGACACACAAATTAATTACCTGTTTGACATAGTGTCAAGGTGATATTTGCCTTCGGGACAGCCTTGCCGTGGAAACTTTATCATAAGACTTGCTGGCATCCAATGAGTCAAAAGGAGACCAGCGCTTTTGTTTTACAAAGTGCGGAGATAATAAAATTTTAGATACTAACAAGCGCTCATTCAACTGGTAATTGTGACTAACGTAGTTTTGGTGAGACAGGTGATTTATATTTTTAATCCTACAAATGTATAGGTCATTTTAATATTAATAGCAAAAGGAATTCTGTTATTCACTACTGCCCTGTAAAAACACGTAAACAGGACATGCACATTGTCCGACGGGACACATTCCCTGCCTTCCACTCTTGATCCGGTTGTCAAATGCTGCTCACTGTGAAGCAGTGCGGCATCCTGCGGGATAAGCAGCATAAGGTGCAGCTTGTGGCTTCCAATGGTCATGAAACGGTCATGTGACGTCTCTTTCATGTCACACCTCTGCCCTCTGTTTCTGTCTCTGTGTTTGTGCTTGTGTCCGTCTCTGCTCTTATCTCCGATCATCTGTTCTGACTGTAAGCTCTAAAGGTCAAAGTTTCTGCAGATTCAAAAATGCCAAATAAGATTTTAAAACCTTTTATTGAATCCAATAAAAAACTAAACAACAGCACCTGTGACTGAATAAAGCTCACACAGGTAAAGGGTGATATACAGGCAGAGAAAGAAAAAGGTAAAACAGGAAATTATCTGGTAAAGGACGTGAAAGTTGACCATGTTTGGCAAAATTATTTTCACTTCTCATTTCAAAGAACAGCTTCTCTCCTGCCTCAGTTCACCCCTAACTTTACATCAAGACTTGTAAGAAACTGTTTCTTTTCATCACCATCTGCAAAACCAAGGGTGGGCCTCCCAGTTTCAACACACACACACAAAACAAACATGTGACTCACTGTGATCGGGGTTTCCTCCGTGCCCCTCTTTTTGGCGTTGGAGTCGAAGAGGACATTTCTGCCGCGCCTCTCACAGTCCTGGTACACTATCAACCTGATCTGACTGGGCTCCAGCTGGGGGATTGGCCAGCTAGGTGGCAGGAAGAGCAGACACAGGAGAGAGGGATCCAAAGAGGGAGAAAGTAAAGATGGAGACAGTAAAGTGATGTAGAAATAGACAGATTGGGGGGAGAGAGGTGAGAGAGAGGAGAGAAAATAATGCAATTAGTACAAATTAACTGACAAGGCGGTGGAGATCAGTGAAATGAAAAGGAGCGAACGGGAAAAGCGAGGAAACATCTCGCATTTTCCTTAAACATCTTTCACGCATTCTCTGAGAATACAGGAAATTTGCACATTAGAGACAATGAGGTCAAGCACCCGTAACGAAACACTTCCAAAACAATCTGGTGCAGCATGGTACTGAAAGAAGCTTTGGAGCAACAATATAGGATAACTTCTTCCACTGTAAACACCAATTCTGAGCATTAACCTTGAACATTATCAATTTGATAACCCAGTACATTTAAAATGTATGCAGCAGAACCAGATATGTATTTTTTAATCTATACATTCCTATTTCTTAATTCCCAAAAGACCTATACATTGAGTTTGATTTCTAAAATTGCGTTCCCCCTAAAGGCTGATCATGTTGTGTGGCTGTTTAAGCCATAGTTGAGCTCTGAGTAAGTATTTCTGCAAGGCATCTGCCAGATATTCACATGACCAGAAAACTGGCTATGCTTTGGGCAGGAGGGAAAAAAAGTCGAAATGATGTACTAGCAAGCTCTAAATAAATCAGTGTGAGCCTTCATCCCTCCCAGTGGGCATGGCAGAGTCAACAGACTCCATACCATGGCTACCATTCATCCATCTCATAACTCAACCAGTGAGGAGCTGAAGCAACAAAGATATGCCAAGCCAACCTACCACCCACCCACCAATGCTTCAGATTTAGAGGGTACCCAGATAAAAAGCAGCCACTCACTCCTGACTATCACTCGGCTGATTTTATCCGAGATATCCAGGGGATCCGGGGGATATTTGCCTGTGCTTGACACATTATGTTTGCAGCTCCTCACTGCTCTACCTTTTCAGTTACACATGTGACAGTCACCCAGTATAACCAGTCTGCAGCTCCAACACATGAGTTGAGGCATGATTCATACTTTACTCAAGAAAATGAGCTTTACTCTATGTGCAGTTGTGGAAGGGAAAACCACTGTATCCACCAGTGTCCCTCCTGAGGCTGTTCTCAACTAAATTAATTTTATGCAATCGACAAACAGCTGCAGGATATCATTAACCAAATGATAAGTTCATTGAAATTCAAATATCTGTCAAACTGTATTAGATGTTTCTTTGCAGATGCAGATCTCTTAACAGACCTTCTTACTACGAGCGATGGGATAAAATAAGATTTAAAGCCATATTGGAGACTGGGATTTTTAACTGTTGTAGACTTCGGCAGTGTAAGATTTCTTCTGGCAGGAAACACCATCCAACAGTTAAGTAACAGTTAAGCGTTTTTTACTGGCAGCCCCTGCTCCACGGCTGTTGCTAGGTAACCTGCTTTTTCATTCAGCTCATCTTATTTATGTTGGTCATCTCAGGCAATATTGTGAAGAATGTTGACGCACATTTACACCTCACTGTGGCTACTACCAGGCCTTCACAGGGCTCTGGCACTCCCTCTGCTTTTGGGGAAAACTGGGTCCCTGGTTGATTTAGTAGGGGCTATAAAGATGACAGAGGTTTGGACCGACAGATAGACTGGCAAGGATTTCTGCCTGACCTGATGGATAGATGGGTCAGGCGCATGGACACAGAGCTGGACCTAAATATAGCCTTTTATTGGGGAGTAGTGGGGGGGCGTCATTAAACACAAGTGTTTATAATAAATGGGTTGATAGGGAGCGGTGGAAAAGGAACAGTTAAGTCCATTTCACTTGTCAACAAAATAGCATGCATAAGCCCACATTCAAAAACAGCTTTTCAACTGGTGGTCAGTGAGCCTTGACAAGGCAGGGAATACCTTTGGTTTGCTGTATGCTCCTGTGTGTGTGTGTGTGTGTGTGTGTGTGTGTGTGTGTGTGTGTGTGCGAGAGAGAGAGAGAGAGAGAGAGAGAGTCCATGTGTACATTGCCATGCATGTGAGCTTCTATTTACCAAACACTGGTGTCAAAGTATGGCCAGCATTCTTGGAGGCAAAATGATTCAGCCTTGCGGGGAGTAGGAGGGAGGGAGTCATGTGCTACAGCCTGCGGCAGTGTTTAGTTGTCACACCAAAGTCATTGTCAGACTGGGCCTTAAGGGGCAATCATAAAAGAGCAACTTTTTGGGGGACTGATTGGAACAACACTGCACAATGAACTGCTTCACCATTTCTGCATGGAAACATCTCCAGCACTCAATCCTGTAGCTTAAGGATTGAGCCTGTTGCCTGCCAATATGCACCAAAACCACCATCTGAATTTAAATGAGGCTTTGTGGGCATTTAACAAAAGGAGCCATATTTCACTGCATGCCATTGCATACAATTGTCTTATATAGTTAAGACAACTTTCAGATTTAAAAGGTAGATAAAATATACTGAGTCAAACTTTGGTAACATTAGCTAACCTCGCTGGCAGTGTCAACACTTCCTGAGGTGGCTTAACAATTGAGGCGTATCATAGCTGTTACATTAAAATGTTAAACTATTATTGAAGTGGCTTTTGGCATAAAAAAAAAAAACCTGTTAGACGAAACAGGGGTTGCCTTGAGGTCAAGCCAATGCTGAAACTGCAGAATAATGCCACTTTCATTGTGTCTGCAGGATATCTAGCAGACATACACCTGTCTCTGTCTCTGTCAGACACACATTCAGAATAATATTTACCACCTTGTGTCTTCCTGTCTCTGGTAACGCAGACTCCATCTGCATAGGAGGCTCCATTGGGCCCCTGTGGACCTAGCCCAAGTATTACTGACCTCTTAGGCATGTAACAAGTTCTTCTCACAAACCAAAACATGCACCATTTGTTGACACTTGGGTTTATTTTCCAGGGTACACTGGTGGAGTCGTGCCACGCAGGTTCTTCATACACAGTTGCAAGGTTATTGGTATGCTAGTCCCAGGTTGCTTGGAAGATTTTCTGACAATATGCTCAAGAAAAAAAACAATAACTTGCGAGAAACTTCCAACAGACTGTCATCTTATTCTACTTAAAGACTAATACAGTTATGTGTTGACTTGTCATTGATTAATCACTCAACATACATCGTCTAACCAGGGTTTGCTTGGTTTAAACGCAAGTAAGATACTACTCTTTTGTTTAGACCAACAGTTAATCAAAGTAAATGTTGGATCACACTGCAAAAACATCTTCCTCTCTGGTTTATATCTGAGGGAAGACCTAACCTCTTACCCAGTCTGAATGTTAAATGGGTGACGTAATGCCTGCCTGGCCTACATAATGATCTCTAATTGCATTGTTTGAGGCTGGGTCGATATTCAGCTCACAGACTTGTGTGTAAGATTACACATCAGGCGGTCGTTTTAGTCCGTCACATGCCTCCTTGCAACTGGACTACTGCCTTTCATGACTGGTTTATTTATAAATTTGACTTTGCTGTTGGTTTTCATGTGTTCAGCTTATGTGTATCTTTATGTGTTTCAGTTGACAGAAGACAGATAAATAAAATTCTTGCAGAAACAATCTCTGAAAGATTTTTTGCAACTATCAATAACTGATTTAACCTTCTGAAACCAATATAAGTTGTTCTAATACAATTTTAAATTAACAAAAACTAAAGTTGCTCAGAAGTTGCATGATCTGGTCAAATGTGGGTGCAACAATTCCAAAAATAAGACGACGTGTTGTTGTTTTCAGATCAGCCCAGAGGAGATCTGCATAATTTGACACCAAGTTCACTGCTCCCTTTGTTTTAAACATAACAGAGAGAAAACACAGAGTGAGAGATGCACGGAAGAAGGAATAAACACAGGACAGAAAGCTAGAAAGACTGCAAAAAAAGAAGGAGCCCTTTCATCAGCAGCAGCAAACACACAGTGAAAGATGTTTCCTAAAGTAAAGAAGCTAAAAGAACAAAAGCTGGGGACAACTGAAGAAAATAAGACCGTTAAATGAGAAAATGCAGCTAAAGTTAATAGATAGAAAACCAGCTGAGTTTAGATATGAAGAGAAAAGGTCATACAAAAACAGAAACACAAAAACATCTGGCAGACAGAAAAGCATTTGAAAGAAAGACAAGGCAGAATGAGAGCAAAGGAGGAAGTATCCCATCAGTGAGCTTGTGACAGTCACAGCGCTGACAGAAGAGAGGGGAGTCATTCATAAAAGCAGCACATGACTTCATGACTGTTACATACTTGTACTGCTTTGACCTCGATTGTCTGAACCAAAAATGACTCAAAAATTCTCTCACATATAGGTTTTCATTTCTTTAAACAACCTGTTGATCTTAGAATTTTAAAAAAATCCCTGACGACAGTTTTATTTAGGTTACATTTCAAATGCCAAGACGACAACAAGCAGGGCCTTGGCATTTCTAAATGATTCACCTTCTTCCTGAACAAAAGTTTTCCAATCACAGAAATGTAAATCAGAAACGCTTTTAACTCCACCCTAATACCACAAAGCCACACAGTTTCTCTTTCCCACATCCACAAACAAAAGATGAGCTTCATCACAAACGCTAAGCTTCATTACATAACACCGACCTCGAATGACAGAATCAATCTTTAAAACTACGGCAGGACTACCTCAAACTGCAAGTGCTGTCCACAGGTTGCTAACACTTAGGCAGAAGACCAAACCTAAAAGACACAACAACACAAACAAACCTCCTTTGACCAACACTACCATGCCCACTTGGATGCACGTAAGCCTGGTTAAATATTAGCGTCTCCTACCTGGGCATCATTGCGAGTCTGCCAGTCTTTCCCCGGCCCTCTCCCTCTCTCTCTATTCCTCTCTCCTCTCCTCTCCCAGCCAAAGCAGGGTCTAAGAATAGCGGTGAACTAAATTCACACAACAACATGAGACTGTCAGGTGATCGCAGGAGCACTGAGTGCTGGACAGTACA